AAGGAAAAGAAAGATGTCAATCAAAGGGTTCAAAATTTTAACTAGATAGAATAAGAATTAGTGATTGTTTTGCACAGAATAGTGACTATGATAAAAATAATAAATTGCATATTTTAAAATTGCCTACACAGAAGGTTTTTAAATATTTTCACCGTAAAAATATTATGGTCAAATATTATTAGTATGTGAGGTGAGGCAATGGATTTGTTAATTAGCCTTATTTCATAATTTATAACTTTAAAGATATCAAAACACCATCTTGTACCCTATAAATATATATATCTATTATTAATTAAAAACAATATGTAAAAAGTGGGTTCAAAAATTTACATTAAAAATTACTATGGAAGTTTTCCTTAATTTGCTGGACATATTACTGTCCTGTCCCAATTGTTCAGTAATCGTCTCTCTTAAGCTTTTCTTTTTAAAAAATTAATTAATTATTATTTTTTTAAAGTTTTAGTTGGACAAGATTTCTTTATTTTATTTATTTATTTTTATGTGGTGCTGAGGATCAAACTCAAGGCCTCGAATGTGCTGAGCAAGCACTCTACTGCTGAGCTACAACCACAGCCCAAGCTTTTCTTTCTTATCACAGTTTTCCAGGATCCAGCTAGGCTCTCTAAATGCATATCACATCCATTTTTACCCAGGCAAATGCTTTATTTGTCATTATCACAAGGGTGACTTTTTCATGTAGCTTTTTCTATTCTGTTTGTTTTACTTCCCAAGATTGAGGCAAATAAAGACTTGTGCCAGTTTAGATTTCCATCCACAATGCTATTAAGGCACAGGTCAATTTCTATTATGATAAAGAATAATGTGATTAAAAGAGAATACAGAGAAACAAGAAAAAGCCTTAATACGTAGATTCTAAGTTCATTAATTAATAGAAAGCTCTTTCACMTTCTTTGCTTCTCTTTTTTCTATAACCTCAAATATCATATGGCAAAGAGAGTATATACATATGTATAYAGCAGTACAATTTTCTATGGTACAACAATTTATTATATAGTATGTACTCTTTTCACAAAAAGGAGAAYGGCAATGTAATACAAAATAAATTTACTTCACTTTAAAATCTTGACTCTCTGTAAGTATTGGAGGACCCTATATAATGTGTATTGTAAAGGTTATTCTATATAATTTTAAAAATTTAGTCATACTTCATGACTTATGGTGTTTCCTGTAATGTTTCACTAATATYCATGCAGAAATTATCATAACATTATTATAGTATAGGTATGATTTTTTTTATTTCTGTGCATTAAAGACTGTATTCATCTAATTTTCCTCTTTTAAAGATAATTAAAAGGGCCAAATGTCATTGGACAATACATAATAAATTGAAAGTGTTTTGCACACTATATTCTTTTTCAYTTTTGTGACTTAAATTTTATATATAATTTTTGTATTTTACTGACAATTCATTTACTTTAAATGTATGTYTGCAGTTTGCCTCAGAATGCTAAAATATATTTTTAAGAATCAAACCAAAATTTTATTGTAATCACTGATATATCTTTTCTCATTGGTCAGACTGAAGACAAAAGAAAAAATAGTGGGCAAATGACAGAAGTTGGGTGACATCTGCTAACTGGATTGGCAAATCTTAAGAGTTTCTTCAATTTTCTCTGTCCATTAGAATACAGCAGAAGCAAACTTCCTAAGGGCTAAAATATAGCATTGAGACCATATCCTTAAAGAAAGATTTCAAAACCTTTGGGATATTTTGATGTTTGATTATCAGCATATTATAATAGTTCTCAATAATACAAAAGAAGCTGAGGACAGTTATTTTTCTCTCGTGACATTTTCCTGTTAAATTTAATTTTTTAAATTAAAATTAAAATTTGTGGTAAATTTCTAGTTTATCCTTAAAAACATATTTCTGACTGAATCAAAGTGCAATATTTTAGAATATTTACCTATTATAAAAGTCATTCTTTCTTGTGTGTGGTACATTCAGTAAAACAATCTTTAATGTCAAATTTTGGGGAATTTTGTTCTTTGCATGTTCATTTAAATTACTCTTTTCCCAGGTAAATAGCTTTAGCAGTTGACCTATACTTTGATTAAATAATGCTTTTACCCTCAYCTCATGGGTAAATTATGTGGTTGAGGCCATTCACTTGACAAACTCCCAGCCATCTGAAGGATGAAATCTGTGGCCAGGCAATAAATACTTGCCATGAAAATCATGGTGCCGCAGTTACCATCTATAATGTGCTTCTGTGTATTTCGTCTTAACCTGCTCTCACCCCATGACACTATTGCCAACTCTAAATGTTTTTTTAGTGCCTATTTGCTGGATTCTCCTTAATTTTCCACCCCATTCCATGAGTGCTTCTTATGCTTTGTATCCTGATTATTTCTGATCCTCTCACTGATCAAGCATAAAAATCACACCATGCRTAAGTTCTAAAATGCATTCAACTGCAATAATAAGGATAATTTAAGCTCCTTTCCTACTCCTTAGTAGTAGGCAGTTGGATAAACTGATCCAAGTTTTAATCAGTTTGAATGCTCAATTCTTTGGCTATCTCCTGTTCCAGTTACTTTAATCATTAGCTTCTAATTTAATGAACTGAATCACCTATGAAAGAAAAAAGCTGCCAAGTTAATAAGATTACAAATTATTTTCCAGTAGTATATTTTTAATCCAGTAGTAAATTTTGTTTTAGTAACTAGTCTATAAGCCTAAGGATCAATGTTCCTGAACGGTAGTCTTTCTTGGGTATAGTGCAACTGCACCCAGAAACTTCAAGTGTAAGTTTCTTGTTGCATTCCTATGACTAAAATGCCTATTTATTATTAATTTATATGGCCTTTATAGTTCTGTTTCTCTTCCAAGCTTTGGTAAGATTCCTTGAATAGCACTTCTCAGCATGCACCAGGATGCTTATAACATGAGGATTCAGTTTATGTTGGAGATAATTTATACTTATAGCTCCTGTCCAAAATTACAGACGAAAATCTTAGTTGAGTAGCAAAATATTGGTGTCACTTTCTCAAATTCTGTAGTATCCCATGATACTACAAAACACATGCACAAACACACACTTTTTTTTAAAATTATTTTTGCCAAAGTGTTGGGGATCAGACTCAAGGCCTTATGCATGATAGGCAACTACTTCACCTCTGAAACACATCCCCAGTCCTCACATCATAAACATTSTACATTCTGGAAAATAATTCCCTAAAACTGCATTTTTCCTTTGGTCTTCAAACCAGTCCCTAATAAAATCTATTAGATGAGCTGCCTGTTCTTTCCCTATCAGTTTTCTTTAAGAGCCACTTTTTTGCCTAGAATTGTTCACCAAAACTTGAAGAGGGAAATATTTTTTTCCTTAAAATATTCTCATATGAGAGAAAGGAATGCTTAGCATCCTCTTTATTGTAGTCMTAAATTTTAAACTCAAAATTTAGTTTTTAAAGTTCTAGCTCTGAATTCCCATAAGCTTCAATCATTAAGAGACTGAGAAACATACGCATTTCAGTGTCTGTGTCTGGGTCCTGTCACCTGATGGCAGACTATTCCCTACACCATGCCTGCTACACTTCTCAGTGCACAATTCCCCACAGATTAGCATCAGCTGGGTGCTGAGAGCTCCATAAATATGTTTATGAACATAAATTACTATGCTTTATACAATCTAGAGAATGTGGATAGTCAGATATTTATGTGATTTGGCTCTGCACCTGGATCCTCTGGTGAGGATTTTAAAAACACCATGGCTCAACCTCACCTCCTGTTTACTAAATCAGAATCCCCAGGGCAAATCCATAATACTCTTACATTCTTAGAAACAGCAGTGGTGATTTAGATGTGTTGTGGAGCCTCTGAAATACTGGTTTGTCTAGGAATCTGTGCCCCAACCCCAATTTTATAAGGAATGGAGGGAAATGAATTCAAGCTCTACTTCTTTCGTGGGTACAGCATGGCTTAGGACACAAAGGGAAACTTGAGGAAAATTTGTGATCAGTAGACCTGTCCTAACTCTGCTGTGTTTTATTGTGTGATCCTGAGAAATCTGCTTCATCTCCATTCATCTCACGTTTTTCTCTGCAAAATATCTTCTGATACACCAGTGAACTATAAAAGGTGTCCAGAAAAAGCATACCACAGAACAAAGTCATATCTATACTTTTTGACGTGCAACTAGTCCATAATTGTATATTTCAGAGAGTCATAGAATTAGTAACAACCTCTATACCTGTTTCTATGTCTCTACTTAATTATGTTCACCTACTTATCCACATTTATTTCCATATCAAGCACATTTGTGTCTTCCGTTTTCATTTCAAACTTTCTTAAGTATAGAGGGTTGAATTTTGTTCTTAGTCTTTTAAGCACAGCAGTTAGACCAAGGGAGATTTTCTTGTTCTGAGAGGTCAGAAAAGGCCAGCGACTTAAATCAGGGAAGCTGACCTGGAAAGGCTGTAGCACTGATAAGATTTAGGTGGAGTTAGCCAGATTAAAGGCTGGATACCTGAAGGGAGAAGGATCAGGCCATGGTGTTCTGCTTTGTGTCTATCAGATGCAGAACATTTCAGTAGAAATGTAGCAATCTTACTGCAAGCCTTAAAAGATGACCTAAGATTCCCAAGAGGCTGAGATCATGTCAAACAGAAGTTAGCAGTAGCTGCCAAATCTCTGGAATGCAGGCTTGAGACTYGACTGTGGGCTTTTCACTCCATGAGAGAAATTTTAAAATAGTTAAAGAAAAGTGAGTAAAATCTGACTCCTGTGCTCTCCCTCCCTTTCTCTCTCTCCTCCCTCCTTATTGGCAAACTACTGTGTTCTAGCCACTGTCCTAACTCAGCCTTGAGGATGTAAGTTTAAAAGTAAACATAATACTCACCCACAGSAACAGGAACCAGTACATCATGATAAAAACTACAATAAAACAATGCAATGTTAGCTGTAATATATTAATTAGCATTCATATATATAAATGTATATATGTATATATGTAGAAATTAGCATTCATAYATACATATGACTCTGCACCTGGATCCTTTGCTGTAGATTTTAAAAACACAGCAGCTCAAAATCACCTCCTGTTTACTAAATTAGAATCCCCGGGGTGAATCCATAATACTCTTAGATTCTTAGAAACAGTAGTGGTGATTTGGCATTCATATATACATATAAATTTAGCATAAAATGAATTTATCAATAATGAAATTAAATGGTCAGTAAATAAATTATTTTTAACAAAAAAAAATACTGGATCACAGTTTATTGTAACACAGTTCCACAAGCTTGAGTAAAGTACCCTGGCTTTGAAATTCAAAGGGTTTTAGCCCTACTCAKCGAAACTTATTTTTCTTCAGAGTTAAAATCATCACCATGATGATCATCATCATCATCATTCAGCATGAGATATATTTTATTAGTGGCTGTTTTGTTGTTGTTGCTGTTGTTGTTTTAATATTTTTATTAGTTGTTGATGGATCTTTATTTTATTTATTTACTTATTTACATGTGGTGCTAAAAATCAAACCCAGTGCCTCACACATGCTAGGCAAGAGCTCCACCACTGAGCCACAACCCCAGCCCTCCTGCCCCCCCCTCTTATTTTTGTTTACTATTTGTTTTGTTTTCTAGGGATTGATTCTAGGAGCACTCTTCCACCAAGCTACATTCTCAGTTCTTTTTATTTTTTTATTTTGAAACAGATTCTTGCTAAGTTGCTTATGTCCTCGMTACGTTGCAGAGGCTAGTTTTAAAAGTTAGATCCTCCTGCCTTAGCCTTCTGAGTTGCTGGGAATACAGGTGTGCGCCACCACACCCGGCTGACTAGTTRCTTTTTATGTGGCAAGCAGTATGTTACAGATTTAATACACAGTAAAAGACACGAAGCATTTGTATTTAATTTCATAACAATCTACAAATTAGCTACTATTAACATATTCTTTATTAAATTGAACTGATAAGGCACAGAAAGTTAAGTATCTTTTTTGAGATAATACAGCCAGTGAGAGCAAAGCTATCTATCTCGAATCTAACTTTCTCTTCCAAACTCATCCTTTTGATATTAAAGTATATGCTAACAGTGTAACACTATTATGAACACAATAMCACCGACTTTTATTCCCAACCAATTCTCTTCATCAATTTAAAGAAAGAGGTTATTCATGTCCTAGCTCTAATAAATGTAAATTAAATATATATCTCATCTATATCCACAGTCTATAAAATAAGCAAGACAACTTCATAGTATGAAGCAAATTATTTCATTTCCAGAACTATTTTTTATGAAACATAGAATTTTTCTTTTACTTAGAATTGTTAATGGATGACTGTGGAACACCTGTATTCTCTTTTCTGTGTATGTGTATACATGCATGCATATACTCCTGCACATAAACTTATTTCTACACATAGATGTCCTATTTCTAGCCTAAATTTCCGAGATTTTTCACTTTGGATAAAGCCTTTTACAGACAAAGGGGGGAGGTTGAATGAAATGGGAAGCTAGTAATTGAGTTCTTCAGTGATGAAGATAAAGGATCTACTACTCTTTGAAAGGTATGGTTGTCAGTTTATAATATATTGTTGAAGAAACATGTCATCCTGAAGGAAGATGTGTATTTTATTCCTTTCTGATTTTCCTAAAAATAATATGTGAACACAATGCCCACAGAACATTAGTTTGGGGCAACAATTTATAAAGACTGAAAAATAGCATACATCTGARTGGCAGAAAGAATATTTTCTAGGAAAAAAAAAAAACAGCTACTGTGGACTGTAATCTTCAACTGATTTCTCAGAAATAAGTTTTCCAGAGAGGAGTCACAATTATAGTTATTCAAATAATACAAAAGTACAATGTTTATTTTGAAATGAACTTAAGCTTAATTGGTTCCATAATTCTTTGAAAATGAACAAATCCACTTATTTATGCTCTTTGACTAATATTGGYGATAAAAATGGTGTTCAGTTTCTTMTAAATCATTTTTTAAACTAGACAATTTCTAGGAACTGTCCATTTTTATTAGAGAGACTGAAAATGGAAAATTCCTCTCACTGATCTGTTATGTTCTCACACAATATTTATGAAATTCAATACTGCTCCATGGATTTCTTAAGCCTCAAAATTCAACCATCTGTAAACCTCTCTTTTCTGTAATGAATCTTGAAATAAGAAAGAAAGAAAAATATGTCTGAGCTTCCAAAATAGATTTCRAAAGTCTAAAGCATTAATGTTCATTTATTTGTTTATTCAGTTGGATCAACACATCTTTTCTTAGGTTCTGTTTACTTCTACATTGTATGTAATCCCCCCAATTTTGATTATTCATTTCAGAGCAAACATAGATTCCAAAGAACAGATTTGAGGGAAAGAAATGGGGATGCTTCAGACAGGCATAATAACCACAATTAAAATTGACAATTGACAGGAATGTATTGAAAAAAAATGTATAGACCATGAGATGAAAGAACTAAAATTCTGTGTTCGTCATGGTCTGTACAGGAAAAACATTCCATACTCTATTATAGAAAGGGTAGAATCATAGGAATAAATGCAACACTAAATTTTCTCAGTATATTCTTAAACTTAGGATCTATATAATAAAAGTTGAACTCTGAGCATTAAATTATAGGCAGATCTGAAGTCTGTATAAACAAATTACGGTATTTAGAATGGCCAGGACCAAAGAACCTTGTTTTGTGTGACCCAGTCACTGCAATGCCTCTTTTAACTATGAGATTGGTTTTCAGCTTACACATCAAGATTTAGATTAAAGTTTTGGCTATGTATTCACTGTTAGAGATGTTGCAACTACTCAATTTAATCAACAGTCTTAACTGAACATTTGGGATATAATTAAAATCAATCAATTATTGATTATTTTTAATACTCCTAAAATGATTTCAAACATTTTACCGAGTTCTAAAAAAAGCTATAATTTCATGCACTGATTTTCTGATTAGCAAATGTCAATGTACAGGGAGGATGACAGTTCACTAAGTTATTACAACAGTGAGTGGAAAGCAATATATTGTTATCTAGTCACAATATGAATGTAATGCAAAGTWTAGAATTTACTCCCTTTGTCTTAAAAAAATACTGAAACAGATGGCCAATCAAAAAAAGAATAGTATTAWAAAAGGAAGATGCTATGAAATATGAAGCTGAAGGAGAGGCTAAATCTCTTGACCTTTCAGATAATTCTCTCTTTTTTTTCTATTTTAGGAGTTTTGTAATATCATGATCAATTATCAGTACACACGAATAGAAACCCTTATGTTCCAGCCTTAATAGTATGGAATTTTAAAGCTAGGAAATGCCATCTAAATACATTGTCCAGTAAATCTCAGAAGTACACACCAAAATCACAAGGCATAAATTATCCAGGTGTTTGGACCCACATACTAAATAAGAATGCTAAGTATATGCATGCTCCAATGTTGCAATTTTTCTTTAGGGTAGATTTATTTATATAATTTCCTTCCTTCCTTTATATTTCTCCC